CATAAAGGGTAAAAAGGGAGTGATAAGCCATTTGAACGCCACAAAAATCAAATTAGACTCTTGATAAGTTCGAAATTCGGTTCTAGAAAGAACTAAGGTATGAATTTTCTCACAAGGGTTGATTTGATTCAAAGATTGATTAAACCCGAAAATACATGATGTTTTTATATAAATAGGTGTTGGAAATTCAGAAAGAATAAGCCGATTAAAGTTACATAAAATATAACAATTTGAAATATTAGATCCAACAAAGCTTACAATAAGACTCCTTGGAAATAGAAGAAAACTCTTTGAATTCAAGCATCTAGAATTTTGATCCCAAAGCTTGATTTTGTTGACTTAAAAATAATGGTGACTTTGGCTCAAAAGTGGGCTGATTCTATGGTTACCACTTAACAATCTCGACCCAAAACATCAAGGTAAGAAAGTTCGACCGCATTGGACTATAAGTCCGAAACTTTTAACTCAATAGCATGGATCGGATTCACAAGGCTCAATTGATGTTCTTTAAGCCTAATGATTGAAAGATCACCCTATTGATGTTGAATAAGCCCATTTAAGGACTCATGAAACTTCTGGCCCTAGCCCTTATGATTAAGCCCAATGGAATTGCCAATAGATCGGCCTCCTCAAGCCCAAGCCCACAACTAGCCTCTTGATTAGCATTTGAATTCTCATCAACCTCTTAATTAGCATTCGAATTCTCATAATAATGTCTATTTTCATAGGTTGTATCCTTCGATGTTTGCGCTCGCACGATCTATAAGACATTCCACGAGTATGTTCATATTTTTGGATGAACATGGAATAACATAAGTTCGAAAACAAAAGACTTCTACTGGAAAGAGTTTAAGGTACTCGATTTATTTAATTAATTAATTACATTACTTCATAATTAAATAAAAATAATAATATCCAATTAAATGTACTAATGAATATTATTATTTTTCTTACGTAAATCATTTACGTGGGATAATAACTTCGACAACAAAGTTAAGAAAGTGTGGGAAAGTCCGGCATGAAAATGGTATCCTAACTTTCTTTGTCATATCAATAGAAACCTAAAGCTAACATTTATCTCACATGACATATGGGATGCATGGAGTACGAAATGGGCAAAACCCGAGGCCATTGCCCTTTACGAGGTGGCTTCGTAGAACCGTAAAAACAAGACTCGGTGGCGTAGGAGCCGGTCCTTCAAGACATACGAGGGGGCTAATTAACCATAGAGAGCATGCAATACGAATGATAAAATATATATATATATATATATATATATATAATTAATTAAATATTTGAGTATATTTAATACATATACGTTTATTTATTTCGGCGTGAGGTATTGGATCATGAACCCGATCCTCATGAGATTTTCTTGAGGACTCATAAGAGAAGATTGATGATCAATATGTCTTCGTCGATCAACGGTCAAGAATTATCGGTGTAAGTTATTAATTACTTTATAACGTTATTTCATACATATTAATTTATAATGTTATTTCATATAGTTGTTTAATATTATATCTTTCACAATTATACGGGAGATCGTAGAAAGATTAATAAATGAGGAGGAGGTTACTAGCCAGACGGACTAGGGGGACTTCATTGACCAACATCAACATTAATAAGATTTTTAGGAAGGCCATTGATGGAGGAGATAGTAAGAGGAAGAGGATGTATGGACTTAGGTCACACGCATCTCACTATTACTTTAATGTCAATACGACCTCTAGTTCGGGAACTTCATGAGTCCATGTTGGTGATAAGGCACAACAAAAAAAAACGAGGATAAAACTGCCGCAAATACGGAAGAGATCCAAGAGTTACGTAGTACTATCACAACACTATTGGCTACAACAAATGATTTGAAGGAGTACACTCGACAACAATATGTGATGATGACACGGATGCAGCGAGATATTGCTACAGACATTTTCAAGCAAGGTGGCGACACGAACTCCATCCAACCTCTAAGCAATTCCACCCAACCTCCGAGTGACGATCCCGCCAATCTCTCCTAGCTATCATGTAATAGCAATAAACTTTCTACTATTTTCAAGAATTTAATAATTAAATAATATTTATTATATTTTAATAAATTTTATAATAACAATTATGAAATTTTAAAATATTATGTTTTGGGTATTTTGTAGACTTTTAAATAGCAATTGGTTATTTTAAAATGAGGGTAAAATAATGATAATAATAATAATATTTTAGACCATCGCTAATTTTTTTAGCGAGGGTTTTGTTTATCGTAGCAAAATTTCCTTACTTATACCATCATTTTCTCGCGACGGTTTTTTCTAGTTTTGCGATGATTTTTTTCCTTGCTAAATTAGCGACTATCCAAAAACCATCGCAAAATTTTAGCAACCGACATTTTACGAACGAGTTTTTAGATCGTCGCAAAACCGTCTCTAATTAAAATTAACAATAGCTTTTGTCGAATTAACAACGATCTAGACCGTCGCTAATTCTATTTTTTTTAGTGTAACTACAACTAAAGTTATCAAAAATCTATGATCTTTTTTCTTATCCTCGTTCGGAGTCCTTGATTTGGTCAATTATAGATCCAATCCCCGCTATATTTTTTTCATTACAACAATACAAATTTATATTGTTTTATTTTTTTATTGCACATATTGCATTTTCTTGTTTGCTTTTTGATTGCATGTATAAAAAAATAGATACATTGTCGTCCGAATGTAATGGAAAGGCTTTGTTTGGGTAAATTAATTTAGTCATGCTTAGTGTGTTTCACGATTTAGTATAATTAGGTTTTTACCATGCACGTACTCCATATGTGCATTATTCAATTAATAAATAATAATTTTTTATAATCTCTAATTAATAGATTATTTAGAATTATTTGTCTTGATAGATTTTTATGAACCTATATATATATGAGAGAGAGAGAGAGTACAAATTTTGTGGATTTTGAAAGGAGTAAAAATGATATAAGACAATAACAAAAACATTCCTATAAAAAAAACAAGGATTCAATTTCATAATTTGATGAACTTTGATGTAGTTTTATTATTTTGAGATTTTAATAATATTATTATTTTTAAGTATTTTTAGAGTTTTTATAGACAAAGTAAAGTGCTAATAATATACTATTTAAGTTAGTAGTGATTTAAAGAAGATTATTTTATGTTATTTAGGTTTTTATGTAGTTAATAAATACAAAAATAAAGCGAAATTAACCTATATTTTAGGTCTTATTCTTTTTGGATTTTAATATTATTGGTTTTCTTTTGGATTTCTCCCAAAGTATTTTTAGAGTTTTCATAAACAAAATAAAGTGCTAACAATATACTATATACGTCGGTAGTGATTTAAAAAAACTATGCTATTTAGGGTTTTATGTGGTTAATAAATAGGAAAATGATGAAATAACAGAATTATTCTATTTTTTAGGTTTGAAGAATTTCTTCAATGTTTGTTTTTCTTCCATTAATTAAAGATGAGATAGAATTTACATAATGAAGATATGCTATAATACTAATATTGTATTTAGATATATTAGTTAATAAAAAGTTTTTAAGAAATTCGTGCTTTTGTATGTAGTTATGGATTTCAATTTAAATAAAATTTATTTATTACAAAGTTTAAAGCGTCAAAATTAACTAAATTATTTTAAAAATTCTTTTTTTCTAATACTACTACTATTGCCAAAAAAAAAAAAAAGGCCAATAATTCTCATAACAAATAATTGATTAAATCCATTGATCTAAAAATAATGGTAGTCATACAAACAATTGCATAATTGTACTTGGTCTTTATATATATATATATGTCCAATCAAATTAAAAATTATAGGACATCTTTTTTTATATCTGGTACTCCTAACAAACAATTTAATAAGTCCATTCAAATGGCTAGTTAGCATAATGTATAAATATAGTTCAAATTAAAGAGTTAATAATTAGTCCCTCTAGTTTTGAGAAATAAATTAATTAATCTTATTTGTTTCAAAAACTAATTATTTAATCTCTATATTTTAAAATTGTATTGTAATTTAATAATTTTGTTTTTTTTTAATTTTTTTAAAGAAATAAAAAAAAAAGGTAAGTAAAGAATATGAAAAGACATACGAGAAAAAAAAGATATTTTTTAAATTAAAATAATTGAATTAAGCATTTTCAACATTAGTCAAAAAACTAAATAAATAGTTTTTGAAAAAAAAATGATTAATTTGTTTCTCAAAAATAGAGTAACTAATTTATAATTCACTCCAAATTAAACTATTAACTTTCTTTGGGCTACACTCCATTAATCTCCTGAGCTTTCTGGTCCTGTGAACAATCCAATTTGTCTTTGTGAATCCATGTCTACAAATTGTGGGCTTCTCATGTGGTATGCTTTATAGGTCAGAAAACCCTCTTGTTTCAGCATGTTCTCCACTGGCTCAATTTCTAGTTTTTCTGTACAGGCATCTGAGTAAACGTCAAAACAGGTGAAATGATTCAAGATCGATCAGACTAGTTATATATGATAAGATTCGGACAAGGGGAAGAATTCTCCAATCTTGACATCCAATCAACTAGCAACTTTCAAATTCCACCTATACTACAAGGCTAGTAAAATCCACCATAAATTAGTGTACCCTTCTCCGATTTAAAGAAGGAAAAATAATAACAGCATCCGTGCGGATTGATGTCCTCCATAGCTATAATGTGCCAGAATATAATTAGAACAATTTAAAAGAAGGCAGTCAAAGCCAGCATGAAGCCTCACGTGCAAAAGCCTTCCACAGCACAAAGCTTCTCGTGCAAGAGCATTGCCTTCCATGAAAAATGCAACCGTCTTGGCAATCAGCAACCAATCTTTTAGCCGGACAAACTTGTCCGCAATATAAATGAATCACTTTTGACAGTGATTGAGAAAAAAATGCCTATAGAAAGAACGGCAAAACAATCAGACGAAATTTATCGCACAGAAGAAATAATCATCAAGCAAATGGAAATCCTGTGTTTGGAATGACCCGCCCTAATTTAATGCCACAGCTTGCTGCAGAAACCATTCCGTGGCCTCTTGCTGGATATGATATCTGAGAAAGAGTCAACCAGCTGTCCTGCCAAGCTACTAGGATCATCAATCAGAGTTTGGATGAAGGTGTTAACCACTCTACGTTCTTGTTCTGTCGATCTCAAGCTAAACCATGTCAGCAATTTCAACCTAAATTCCTGGTTGATGTGACCCTCACATTCCAACCATCGGATTGTCTTCACACAGTACTCAAAGTTCTCATCCAGGTAACCGGAACCACTGGACACACGGAATGGTGATCCGTTTATCAAAGTGCTATCACAGTCATGCAAGTCTTCATTTGTGTGTGCAGCTCTTTTCCTGCACAACTCTGACCGGGAATCAACAGTGGGCACTTCCCCACTTGGCCCATGCGTCCAGGTCTGGGAGTCACCACTACCATGAGATCTTGCTAAACCATTTTTCTCTACATCATGAGAAGCAGCATCATCATCTGCCTCAATAGCCTGCTCCAAAGTGCACCCATTATCCTCATCACGGGAAGACTCAAATGGAGGAGTCAGCTCTTCATTCAAATCAGGCACTGAAACAACATTCAAGTCTAGCCCATGCGAGACAGATGGCACTGGATCTTCAGAAGTTTGAGGCTTGACCACTTTGCTCGCTCCACAGCATTTTTCAGTATCAGCGCTACAGAAACCTTCAAAGCAGCCTTGCTGTTGAGCCCCAGCCAAATGGAGGATCTTTCCAAGGTCTCGAACCTTGAAGCCAGAAGAATTAACAGCGGTTGTAGTTTCAGAATCCTGATTGTAACTAGAAGTACATCCTCCAGTGACAGTATTCTCTTTCTTACTATTCCTTGCGACTGAAGGATTAGAACTTTTTGAATTAGTTCTATGCTCTTGGTAAAACACTGGGCCTCAGAGTGACCCAAGTCGCCAGCATCTGTATAAGAAACAATCCGAAAGGTATACTGCGTGCAGGGTTGTAGATTGGAAATCAAAATCCTTCTCTGAGATCTTGGAAACACACAAATAGGTTCTTTTGCATGTGTCTCTTCTCTACTCTTGCAATACCAGAGCTTGTAGCCCTTAATATCATCAGATGACGCAGTAGACAATTCAATTAAAATAATAACAACAGATGAGGATTTCACTTCTTCAAATAAGAATCTGCAAGCAGCAGGAAGGGAATCCTCTGCAGAAAGGACAGGCATTTGGTTATTCATTTATGTTTTCATGTTCTCAATTTAAAACAATTAGGATACAACAGAGAATGCAACTTATGAACTCTAACCTCTGCAGTTTGGGTTTGCACTAGAAATGGTAGTGAGCCATTCATCTGCCTTTTCAATTGCAAGAGAACAAAGTTTCTGCACATCACCAGCGACAGAGAGTCTGCTGACAATGCCCCGTGCCATCTTGGCAGAAACACCATTTACTGGACCTACTTCTGTTTCTAGTTTAGCCTTGGCATCCCTAACAATTTCATGCAGTTCTTTAAACCTTGAAGTCCCATCAAGTAGCCTGTAGCTCAAGTATATCCTATAACAGAGAACATCAAGACGACGGGCATCCTTTGATATAATTAGCTGCTTCTTCCAACTTCTGTCAGTATTAATCAAATCACAGCAACACATCAGTCCCGGTTAAAAACCAATTCAGAAATACAAAACTTATTCTGCAGTTACTGCTTATTACTTCATTTTCTGGCAGGTACAATCTAAAACAGAACCAAACAAACTACCCTCTTGACAAGCATTAGATCACTGAAATCAGTCTATATCATTGTAATCATGTCCCAGAAATAAACCATTAAAGAATTGGGAACACAACCAACATTTCAATGTCTTGAGTAATGTAAATGCAGAATTTCATGCTTCAGTGAAAAGCACTATTTATCCATACAAATAAAGATTGTATTTTTGTTGTTACCATAGAACATATACAGATTTTCCCAGAAGAAATTTGTTAAAAGATACCACTGGAAAAAAAACTCTTGGGCAGTTCGATACATCAACCAGGAATTTGCATAACTGTTCCGTTGACTGACTGAAACCAACTAGTTCAGGAATGTAGAAACCATAACAAGTGTGGAATTTACTTACCCGAGAATCCCTGAAACTTTACCACAAGACGCACAACAATAACTACCATCTAGCTGCATCAATTGGCCAAGGTCAACAACCCCCACCTTTTCACGTTGAAGGGCACACTCAATATGACAAGATAGCTCACAGGAGTCCACCTGACCACTTTCAGATGTGCAAACCAACCAGAGACTAGGGTCTTTATTGTCATCAAATAAATGACAAATACAGCAAGAGCACCTCTTGCAAAACGTGTCGTCAATGGAAAGAACAGCTCTACAAGCTGAATTTTTACATATCCATGAGTTTGAACATCCAAAATTGGGTGACTGCTCAGAAGGAGGTACAAGTCTCATAGGATTTTCCCCCTTTCTTTGTTGCTTCTTAGAAGAAGGTTGATTATTAGGACTAGAAGAAGCTTTTTTGGTTTCCTGCTTCTTGGTAGTTTTGTTACCGGTCTTCAGAAGTTCCATCATTTTGCTTTTTGATGAAGCTGTTTGCTTCTTGTCCTTATCAAAGCAAGTTCGAAGAAGTTCCTTTTTGGGACCAGATTTTAGAAACTCTTGAAGGAGTTCTGGACTTCTTGAAGCATCATCTGAATTGCCATTTTTTTCTGGGGTGCTTTGCACACTGGAAGAAAGGCTTTGAACACCAGAAACTGGAAAGGAACAGCAAACCAACTAAAAGAATGAGTCTTTGGCAGAAAATAGAACACATTATTTCTAGTAAGGAATCCATCTGATGAGTGCATGTAAACAAGATAGAAGCTTTCGAACTATATTTTTAAAGTTTACCAACAAAGAAGGCAATATGGTTCTTTCTTCATAAAGCCTGACCCACTCAACTTTTCGACATCTCTTCACCCTTCAATGCCTTCAATTTAGCTAAATCTCCCCTTTATCAAGGCATTTCCATTTCTAAATGCCATATTTGGTGCATACCTCACTTCTCTTTTGTACCACAAACAAAATCCTAATTTTTTTTAAATTCACCTTCTTGGTTAATTCCTAATCACTACACTGTTTTATAGAAGAACAATTCTGTTAACATTGCATATGAATAGAACTGCGAAATGGATGACGAGTTATCCTCAGAATACAAAACCAAGACAATGAGAACTAAAGAATTAAAAGCCCTACAATGCCTTTGAACATCATGCAATGAAAATCCTAACAAGGCTCCCAAAGCACTGAACCATAAAGATGCAAAAAAGAAATAGAAAATAATTCAACACCACATTAACTATTTGGCTAGCATTGTTTTCAATATTTCTTAATCCATCACAGTCCACAAACACTGAACAAAAATGCTAAAAATGGCACTTTCAAAACTTCATTCCACCCTTCCCTCTCCCAAACAAGTTAGATAGCTGATCAATCACCCTGCACAGAACCACCCATTTCTTCTTGCAGTTGCAAACAATCTATAACCCAGGCCACTGGATCAGCAAGAAAGGGTGATTGTGTAAAAGATATTACAGAACTTTCATTCAGATACAAATTTCTTATGATATCCATCTTTCATGGAAAAAGTGAACACCGATTCATCTAATCCTACATATCTAATTGGACAAGAGTTGAGAAACACAAGAAGCAACACCATACTGCAAAGGCGATCCAGCTGAGAAACATTCAACTTTATTTCTTTTCTTTTTTTTAATGATGCCTGAGAATAATGGATAGGAAAGCTTCCGAGGTGTATCATCATGAACTGGTAAATGAAAACCCAATAAGAAAAAGAAAAGGCAGTAAAGAAGAAAGAGAGGGCAAGGTTTATTAAGTATTTAAGTGATATATCAGCCAAAGATTGGTATAATCAGATTGACACATCAAACAATCGCAGATCATATCAGCCAAAAGTATTTCATCATCAAATTAAAGAAATATTAAAAATTAGCAGAAAGGAAACATTCCTTCAGCACCTAGCCTGCTCTGTAAAATCGAGATCTCAACTACTATATAGAAAAGATAAAGAGCATACATACCTTTAGCAAGGAATGTATCCTCTAAGTCCATCTTAAACAGGTCGGCACACCAACTCTAGCAGCCCTACCTACCTGTCATATGAGTTCAAAAACCAGAATGCCTTTAAATTTCCTTAATTTCGTAACTTCTTATTTGCGCGTTGATTGTTAATTTTCTTCTCCTCATTTTTTTGAAGCAACGAAACAAATTGCATGAACAAAACACACAACAAATTGCAATGCACAGCAACTGATTTGCAAACTTTGAAATTTTGTAAGAAGAAAGCGTCATCACTCCTAAAAGCTACAAACTATTGTTTTAAAAAAAGTTAAATAATATTTGAAAATTAGAGAAATTTTTAACGCATTGAATACCCAACAAAAAACAACAGAAATAAAACTAGTGTAAAATAAACTTATCAAAACCGAAAGAAAAGCTGAATTAAGGGGTATGCAGTATGTAAATGTCCGTACATTGCCTTGACTAATAAAAATTCAAAAATAATTTTCAGTTAGGAAAATTCACGAAACTTGAGACATGGTTTTGAGAAAACAAAAAACAGTAACGGATCTGGGGGCAACAAACAGTCGAGCAATCAAAACCAAAATTCGTTAGTACCTGTTGATAATGGGAGAGGAATCTAGGGTTTTCAATGGGAGCCAGAGCCGGAGCCAGAAAGACGACACGAATCCAAGGCGAGAGAAATATAGAGAAAGAGAAGAAATTTCTTTTTCTTCGTGTTTATTATGTTAGTTTCTTAAGGGGAGATGTTCACGTTTTGGAGAGAGGAGGAGAAGAAAATCACGCGCGATTAAAACGCGTATCGTAGTTGGTTTTGTTTAAAAGCAGGGTTGGCTGTGCTGAGCAGAAAAAGTACGCGAAGCACTGTCACTTGTTTCAATTTGACCGTGTTTCACACTCACTTTAATAGCGCGTGATACGAATGTTACGGTTTTTTATTTGTTTTTCTTGAGTTGTTTTTTCGTATGGGGTTGTTAATAGACAGCAAGCAAATATGTTATCTGCGGATGGACAATGGCAATAGTTTTCCTTTTTTGGTTGGATGATAAAAATATTTTAATTGAGATTTAATTCGTTCATGAATTATTTTAAAAGAGAATTTTTTTATGAGTTTAAAATCACTGTAAAAAAAAATTACTATATTTTGTTATAGATTGTCTCAAAATTTAAACTCAAAAAATTAAAAAAATATATAATTTTAAAAATATACTTCATGGCAATATAATATATATATAAAATTTTAATAAATTTTATTAGATATTGTCTCAAAATTTAAACTAAAAAAGTTGAGAGTAATTCTAAAGCCTATCAATCTGATACATTCATAAAAATTTAATAAATATTGTACCTCAAACTTTAAACTAAAAATTTTAAGAAAGAGATGTAAAATAATAATAGTAAAGATTGGATTTAAATTTTCAGTGTAATTTTTGTTTTTTAAATAAAGGAATTTAATCAATTGATTTTAAATTAATTTGTATTTGAATAAGATGATACATGGTATCATCCATAGAGAGAAATCTATTTTGGTATTTTTAGATTTGATTCTAATCATTTAATTGATATATTTACAAAACTAGGTGATGTGTATCTTTAAATGTGGCTCCCTAAGAGAAGTTGGTTTTGAAAGAGTGTATAACGGAATTCTATTTACTCAAAAAAAGCAAGTCTAAGCCGTTTGGCGTAATTTTGCAGAATTTATAGATTTCAACATAAGTATTATTACATTGGTCGGTTGAAGTATGAATCTCATTTTTGTTCTTGACTGTTGACGAAGAATTGTTTTTGTGTATTTTATTGACCAAATAATTTCTCGTGATTAAGGAGCGATGGGAATCATAAGAAGAAGAAGAAGGAGAAGAAGAAATCAAATGAGTAACGCGTGTCACGCTATGTGTAGAATCTTATAAAAAATATGCGGAATGAGTCGGTCAACGTGACTCTACAAACAATGCATGTAAGAACATGAAATTTGGTACTTTTTGTGATTCATCTAATTCACCACTTTTTTCTAGCACTTTTCTTTTCTGAACGCCAATGACACTTGGGTACCCACCGTCCTTCCAGGTCTACGTATGCATGTATGCCTAATCCTTACGACCTTTGCCTATATTCCATTCTATTGGTGATGGTGGGTTCTTATAAATTGACTAAATTAACTAGGTTGAAAGAATCAAATCACAAAATATTTCACAGCTGGGGCTGGTGGAAGATTATTGCTTTTATGCTGTTGACCTTAATAAAGTATATGGGTTTATATATATATATATATTCTCCTTTTTGTGAAAATGATTGCCTGGCGCTAGCTAGCCACGGTGAAATATGTATGGGTTTAAGATTGACATAAAATGAATGATCTTGCACCTATAATCAAATAAAACTTGTACAGCTGCGTGTACGAGAAACATGCGTCATTTTTTTTTTTTTTTTTTTACGAGTCGGTTGATATAGAGCCAAAAGATCATCGATAAAAAGTTGCTTATATATCTAGTTCCAAAGATGATATACGTTGTGATAATGTCGCATTCTAGTTTGATTAGGTTTGGACTAAAGGCATGGAGATGGGCGGCTTGCAAAAACTTATAGCAAGCTTACTAGCCAAGATGATGGGCCCGAATGGACTTAATTTGAACAATTACCAATAAAGCAAGCAGAGGAATAATCCACCTTTGAATGACGGTTGAATGCATATCTCTCTCTCACACAATTTATGACAAATTTATCCATAAAAATTAATTAATATTATAAAATAAATAGAAATAATAAAAGAATTGAAGAGAAGGATAACAAAAAAAAGAATTCACTATAGAGTAAATACAAGTGATAAGAACTTCAAATTGTTCTCTTAATCTCTCTAAAAAAACTTGTACATTAACTAATGAACAATCAAACCTATTTATAGGCTTCAAAATTGAGATGAGAATTGAAAGGGACTTTGAATAATTAAAAGTACATAAATTACATCACTCTTTCAATTTCTCATATTGAATGGTGAATCGAATCACATTAAGGATCATGAGTAGTGGGGATATGAAAAGTAGATGGACATTCGTATGGACATTCATTATTTTATAACATTTCCCCTCGAATGTCCATTGTACAAGGAACATACCTCGTTAAAACTTTACTCGAAAAAAACCCGAGTGGGAAAAATCCTGGTGAAAGAAAAAGAGTACAATATTCCTTGCACACATTAATCCTCATTTTGGTCTCCCTCCGTTGAAGACATTATTTAAGATCTCTAAGACGACGCATTCTAATCTTATGAATCATCTTTTTAAAACTTGTGGTAGGTAATGCCTTAATGAACAAATCTGCTGGATTGTCGACTGATCGAATTTGTTGAACATTAATATCACCATTTCGTTGAAGATCATGCATGAAAAATAATTTTGGTGATATATGCTTCGTTTTATCACCTTTGATGTATCCTTCCTTTAATTGAGCTATACAAGCAGTATTATCTTCATATAAAACTCGTTGAAACTTCCTTGCTAGTGATAAATCACATGTCTCTCGAATATGATGGGTCATTGAACTTAACCAAATACATTCTTAACTTGCCTTATGAATTGCTAGTATTTCCGCATGGTTTGAAGATGTGACAACTATAGTTTGCTTCATAGAATGCCATGATATAGTTGTATCTTCATATTTAAATACATAACCGAGTTTGAGATCGAGCTTTGTGTGGATCGGATAAATAACTCGCATCTAGATAACTAATTAATTCGGTGTTTAATTTGTTAGCGTAAGATAAGCCCGTATCAATTGTTCCTCGGAGATAACGTAGTATATGTTTAATTTCATTCCAATGTCTCCGTGTAGGAGCATAACTATATCTTACTAATAAATTTACGGAAAATGCTATATCAAGTCGAGTATTATTAGCAAGATACATTAAGGCACCAATTGCACTAAGGTATGGTACTTCGGGATCAAGAAGTTCTTCGTTATCTTCTCGAGGTCGAAAAGGTCCTTTTGAATATCAAGTGAACAAACTACTATTGGGCTAGTCAATGGATGAGCCTTATCCATGTAGAATATTTATAGTTTCTATATATGTTGATTGATGAATAAAAATTCCATCTTTTAAGTGTTCGAATTGCAAGTCGAGATAAAATTTTGTTTTTTCAAGATTTTTCATATCAAATTCTCTTTTTAAATAATTTATGGCAATTAAAATCTCTTCAAGAGTTCCAATTATATTTAAATCGTCAACATATACGGTAATTATCACAAACGCTTTTCAAATTTCTTTATAAAGACACAAGGATAAATTAGGTTATTTTTATAACCTTCTTTTAATAAATAATCACTAAGACGATTATACCACATGCGTTCGGATTGTTTCAATCCATATAGAGATCTTTGTAATTTAATCGAATACATCTCTCGAGAAAGTGTTTTACATACTTTAGGAATTTTAAGTCCTTCGGGACTTTCATATAGATATCACTATCAAGTGAACCATATAGATAAGTCGTGATTACATCCATTAAATACATATGAAGTTTTTCACATATTGTCAAGCTAATAAGATAATGGAATGTAATTGCATCCATTACAAGAGAATATGTCTCTTCATAGTCAATGCTAGGTCTTTGTGAAAATCCTTTGCGCTATAAATCTTTCTTTGTATCTCACAATTTCATCTTTTTCACACAAATACTCATTTATATCCTACTGGCTTAACATCTTCGAGTGATTTAACCATGGGTCCAAAAATTGCTCGTTTTGTGAGAGACTTTAATTCTTCTTGAATTGCATCTTTCCACTTAGGCCAATCATCTCTATGTCGACATTCTTCAATAGATTTTGGATCGGGATCCTTATTCAAAATATCAATTGCCATATTATATGCAAAGATGTTATCAATGAATGTTTCTTTTCGGTCCCATTTTCTCCTTGTTTTAACATCATTTATCGAAATTTCTTGATTTTTCTCAAGCATTTGGGCTTCTTTCGGAAGCTTGTTATCAAAAACATATTGGACCGTTTTATCTACCTTTTTTATATTTTCATCTTGA